GGCTGTGGCTAGACCCCAAGCTCGCCCATTTGAAATGAGCTTGGGTGTATCTACAGGGCACTGAGGTCTCCAGCATGGTCACATCCCCTCTGAAGAGAAGGAAGAGGTCAGGGGAGATGCACATGCTCAAAACTGCTTCAGTAAGTTTCCTTAACTAAAGGAGCAGAAGTCACTTTCTCTTTCCTGGCCTAAAAAGGGCATTTCATGTAGTATGTCCTCGTGTTCATCATGAAGGCGGCGAGCGCTTCTTGCCTTCAGTAGCTGCTGCCCCAGCCATTGCTTTCCTGAGAACAAAAATAATCTCGTGGAAAAATAAACTGAAGGGATTATTTTCCCCCTTTTTTTGGCGGTGGTGTGGTGGGTATGTTTAAGACTGCTTTTTCCAAAGGCTCTGATGTCTTTAGGCATGAAGAAATGTTGCAGCACATCCCAGGGAAGTTGTGCAAAGACCTCTTTCATGGGTGTTTGCATACAAAGGAGGACTTTAATCTGCGTCAGGGATTTGGGGATTATAACAGTGATCAGGAGGTTCTCCTCATCCTTGTTTTCTTAGCGATGTCAGAGGGCAGTGACTGCAATCAGTGGCAGTGGGATGCAGTACCAACCGCCGGTGCAGGCACTGGGTGTATTTTAAGGAACGTATTTACTTACGGTTCCTGCGTTAGGCAGATTTCAGTGTTGTAGTATAAGAAAAAGATTGTCAAAACCTCATTTTCCACCAACTGTTTCCGTGGAAGAAAGAAAAGTTTCCATTGCAAAACGCTTGTTTTTTTGTTGGGTTTTTTTGGGTGGTGGCTGGTGGTGGTTATTGTTTTGAACCAAGCAAAATGTTTTGTATTCAGAGTAAAGATATTTTAATGTTTATTGTCTTTGACAAAGACAGTATTTAGAACAGAAGTGTTTCATTTTTATAATATAAAAATCAAATCTTTTCCTTATTCTGCTGCTTTCTTTTTGGGCATGAGTACTTTGTTGAAGCTGAGAAAAGTTAGGCAAAATATTCTCAGACGTGTTTTTTAATCTGCATTTTTCATCTAAAAATGTAAAGTCTATGACTCCTACTGAAGTTGCAGGAAAGCTCACTGAGAAAACTGAAGCCGTGGGGTGAAATACGACTGTGTGTCTCAGGGCATCTGCTTAAGCCAATAAAATACTGTCAAAGATATTGATGGTTAGAGAACTTATGGGCATATACAGATCAGACAAGTACATAGGTCGTGATATGGCTAGATGGGCCATAAATTACTAATTTTTAAAAGTTGAATAGTTTTTAATTGAATTGTTCATAAATTATTTTTTACTTCTGCATGTTTTGCAAGAAAAAAAGAAAAGGAAAGAGAAAAGAAAGACTTTATAAATAAAGACCATAATCATATGGTAGAGCAATGGCAATACATGGGTGGGATTCCCAAATGTGCATCGGAGTAACAGTGAGTACTCTGGAGAATTGCATCCTTATAAGTCAGCGAGTGCGTATCTGCGTAATGGATTAACATTTATTAGTCTGATATGTGTACGCCGTGGAGTGCGGACATAACTTTTTAATTAAAACTTTGCATTACGAGCAAGAATGGCTTTGACTTCTCGGCGGAACAGAATTTATTTATTTCCCATGTTATCCACGCTATCTGAGTAGACACGCAGAGCACGCAGTGCTGCTTCTGCACTAGGAACTGGGAGGTTTCAAACAGAGGAGCAGGTTATGAATAGCAAACACTGATAAAATGATCTGGGTGAGCAATTGTTTTGTGCCAAGTTATTTGAAAATACTGGAGTATCTGAACTATGTGAATATACGATCTAATGTGTTGGGTTTTTTTAAAGCTAGTAATCTAGAGGCTTTCTGAATCCTCTGCCATAAAGAAGCATAGATGCTGCTTTGGGATTTGAGGCTGATACCTGCCAGAATGTCCCGCGAGCCCATGGTCCCCCTTTGCACCGCTCCCCACCTTGAAAATGGGATAATGTCAGTGCGGTGGCAGCGGTTGCTCTGAAGGTCACTGTGTTAAGCAGTGGTGAGGGCTTGGACACTAGAGCTGTGAGATGCTCCTTCTCTAAGGATGGATTTGATGGTCTGTCTCTTAAAAGTCATTAGAGGTCACCCCAAAGCATGGACTGGAGCTTGCAGTGGGTGAAACCGCTAAGGACCTCTCTGAAGAGGTTTTCAGCCACAGACACCTGGCTTTCCTGTGCCCAATTTTTTGATTACTGCCTTAGCGTAGTGTTTGAGAGTCATCTTTCTTCACAGTGCATTCAATAAATTACAATGCAATATTGATCAGCATGTTTTTGTGTGTATGTTGAGTTAAAGCCAAGGTAAATAATGAACTGAAGTTAAATCAGACCAGTGACATTCCTGAAGGATATCTTTTAAGAGAGAATCTAGTTGACAGTATTCCTTTTATTCTTCAGGGATCTATACATACACTACAAAATTAGTTAATTTGTTAAAATCGCTCCTCTTTTCTCTAAAACATACATGTGTGTATATATATATTTTTAAAGCTGAAAACTACTTTTGTTGACAGACAAACAGCATCCTGTTAAAATTCCTTATAATAAAGAGAAGATAGATACATCAATGTTAAGATGCAGTGGAGGGGGAAGGCTTTTGCATTCATAAAAAGGATAAAACTGACAGTATCTAAATAAACTTTGCTATATTTTTTAATGTAAGTTATGTAATGTTACCAGTTACATAGATGCTGATTATACTTATAACGTATTATTTAAGTTATATGTTCTTTTGACAGAGCGGACTGCCTTCCACTGAAAACTTTTTGTGGGAGAGGAAGGGGAGGAAGAGAGAAGTCACGCTATTAAATTTTTTCCAGTTAAAAATCAAAAAGAGCTGTTTTTACAATTCTGATTACATAAAGGGAAATAAAACACGCAAGAGATTCAGTGAACATCTTAAATGCTGTTTTAAAATACTTCTCAAGCATTTGAAATATATATGATGAAATTGTATTCTGCAGCATGCAGAAGCTGAGTGTGTTCCAAAATTATCCTGCAGCACATTTATATGGATGATTTAAAAAGCCCCGGAGCCAAGAGTTTAGAATAGAAGTACAGACAGATTGAGACTGGTAAATATAGCAGTGCTAATAGCGTCTCTCTCGCATGCAGACCGAATGTTTTAGATGTAGAGTTTGGCATATTTGCCTTATCCCAGAGCAGCAGAACTATGCGAGAGTTATGCAGGTCACCTGGCAAGAGGGCAAAGCCAGTTGAGCTTAGGAATTTAACAAGCCAGAAGGAGATGAACATGTTTTTGAAGTATTGTTTGCTGTGACTTCAGCCTCTGAAGCCCACACCTGCTCTTGTTTCAAGGGGAGGAGAATTTACATGGGCTACAGCTGGTCATGAATTTTTCAGTTCGGAGCCTTTTGTAGAAGATCCCTCCTGTCCAGGAGAAGTTCCTGATGCGAGGAAGGCTGAACGCCACCCACCTTGTGCTCTTGTGCAGGTTACTGGGATCTGGACCCCAGTTCTGGGACAGGACTGGGAATGGTGGAACTTAAGTGTCTCTGCACCCTAGGGAATGATCTCCCTCCAGCCAAGGCAACCCTTAGGGCCACCTTGGTGCCCACCAGGGGCCACCCAGCTCAGCCATGGGACCTTTCTTCACATGGGAGAGGGCTGGAAGCACAGCATGTCCAGTTCAGGCTTGGCTGGGCACGGAGACAGGCACTTGGTACTGGTGGCAGGCGTGCGCTGCCTGAGCTGCCAAGGCTGCAACACCTTGTCCAAACCAAGCCAATACTGGCTCAAGGTTGCTTGTAGACAGCCTGCCTAGCAGATCCCAAAGGATCAGTGTCTAAATGCTGTTCTTTAAATCATGACTTCACTGACTACTTTTGGACAATCTTTGGGGACCGTAGCCTGGGAACTAATAGCCAAATATTTACTATCTTGTCTTGTGTCAATCTCACTTTTATCAATGACTACAGAATTTTTGGCCTTCATCCTGGCATAGAATTAGCGGATGGGGTTGAGAAGAGATGGCTTTGAGAAGCTTCAGAAGAGACGTAAACTCCTCTTTATGCAAGTATCCCACTTGTGGCCTCTATAGGCAAGAAAAACCTACCATTTAAAAAAAGCAGTTTTGGTCTGGAACTGAATGTTGCTTATCCTGGTCATTGAATTAGTGTGAACTGAAAGAGGTGGAAGGTACCTGGGGAGTCCCTGGAGGTCTGGTGCATTTAATGAGATAACTTAGTCCACCGAGTCATGCAGGCAAGGGCTCGGGTCATCAAGCATGGGTGTTAGCAATGTGCGTATCCACCTCTGTGCAGCTGTTGGTTGTAGTGGGCTGTTACTGGCATTTTTATGGTTTTGGAATTGAAAAGTTCACTTTAAAAAGTCTTCACTTTTGGAAAATAATTACCAGAGTAAAGGAATCTGAAATTGCTGTAAATGACATTAACCACCTATGTGAAGAAATAGATGTTAGTAGTGTGTTGCGGTTTCAAGCAACTGATCATTTGACTTCTTAAAACTGGATTTTATTGCTGCTGAAAGATAATCCATTAGTTGTTTTGAAGGTGCTTTCCAATGTGCCCTCATCTTTCGTGAATATGATTTCAATGAAAACTATCCATATTCAGTGCACAAGTACAGCCGCCTTTTCTGGTGAGCTCTGCTCGTTGCCATTGGTGGGGAGTTTTTCTGCAGCTGTTCCAGCTGTGCGTCACTGATAGTGGATTGAGTTGTTCTCCATATCTCTGCTAGTGGCTTTTATTTTTTATGGGGCGTTTCCATCAAAAGTAATTAACTATTTCTAAGACACGATGGTAAATGCAAGATTACTATTCAGGGGCTCTCGGATGAAGTGTTTGATTGTAAGCATGAGCTATTCAGTTTTCTGGAGAAGTTCCCCGAGTCGTCCAACATAAAATCTTGGCCACCACACATGTGGTTCTCGGTTCGGTGAAGAGATCTACACTCTCCTGACTTTTACAGACTTAAAGTAACAATCTTTTTTGGTGCTTGCTCAGATCAGGTGGACCAAAACAGCAGGAAGTGCCTCTGACAGATTTCAAGACTCGAGTGTCTTCAATGAAACCCTGAGGATATCCAACATCCAGCGACACCAAGGAGGACGCTACTACTGCAAGGCTGAGAACGGCTTGGGTTCGCCAGCCATAAAATCCATAAGAGTGGATGTGTACTGTAAGTAAATCGCTTGGGAAATTCTTACTGTGCTTTTTATTAACTTCTTATAATGTCTGACGTTACAAAGAAGTGACCAGCTCTTTGGGAAGTCCGGTTTTAAACAGTACTTCAGGGCAGATTCTGCAGCTTTTGGGACTATTTATGGTCAGAAGACTTGTGGCTGTTCCCAATGAAGTCAGGTGGGGCTGCTTGCATATGGAAATATCTTTAAACAAAATCACAATACTTTGGTAAGAAAGATGAAGCTCAGGTACAATTCGGCCTGCTTAGATGTCAGAGGAAGATTTGTCTGCAGCTTCATAGAGTGAAGATCTAGTACGTAGCACAGCCCTTAATCTCTTGTACTTTTGGCTGCGCTTGCCCTCGAAACTGATATGGGAAGAAGTACAGATGTTTTTTGCTATTTTGCTTTAATTGCTGCTAAAAAATGTTGCTTTTTTTTTTTTAATGGCAATCTCTTCATGGTCCTGTGATATGGAGTTTCAAAAGATGCACTTGAAATGTTGGGCAGTGAAAAATATGAAGTATTGGGATTGCAATGCAATTGGTCACCAGAGCTAACAGAAAAAGAGGAAGCAATTGAAAAATGTCATACTGCAATAAATGCACAAAGTGGAATAAAAAATAAAAATCCCAGTCTGACTTGCACAGACTCCAGTGTCAGTGAGTGGGCTAGTCAGACGAAGCACGGCTCTCACTTGTGATCAGGTGTAGGTCATTGCTGTAGGTTTAATGGTAAACTTTGCATCTGACTTTGTAAATTATGTGACTGGACTCAGCTGCTGGAAAGTGAGAAGACCTGAATGCCTCAAACAACTGTGGTTTTGTGTACACTTCAAATGAAGAAAAAACGTTCAAAATCTGTTTGAAATGCTCCAAAGACAAGAAAGTCTTTGCAATATACATTTGGAGACTTCTAATGCAAGTAGTGTCATGTAAAAAAATACGTTTGTGCCACATACATAGTTAAACAAATAGCTAGAGCTCGAAGTTAGCCCTTTAGTCTCCGGAGTCCTTCAAAAAGAAACCTGTCTTGTGACTATACAAGCATTGGGCTTGTGTTTCCCAAAAAGTACCCTCTCTCTGTCAGATGAATCTCAAGATGTATGTTACTTTAGAGACCCACGCAGTGACAATCTTTGTGAGTTAGTTATGGAATTAGTGAAGGGGGGCAACTGCCTTTTGGGCGATTTCCTTCCCTAGTGTGTGCACTTAGCTTCACAGTGTGCTTAATGAGCTATAACATACCAATGCCAAATTTGTAAATCCTTTATGAACAATAGTTGAATTAGGAATTAATTGCTCATGAACATGTTGGAGTCCAATAAATGAACGGGCAACCTTAATGGCTGCTTATAAGCACACCACGCAAAGAAGTTACAAGCATCCAGTGTTTGTAACGGGGCTGGCCCGAGGTTTGCAGCGAGGGGCGAGCAGGATGCCCGGTCCAGGCAGCGTTCAGGGATCAGTGGTGCGGGTGGGGGTCCCTGCACTCCAGAGAAAAAACCCTGTACTCCACAGAAAAGCTCATAAGAAATCAAAGTATTGGAAATTGAAATGTTCCTGTTGAAATTTCCAAGTAGCTTAAAATAATTTAGTCTTTTTTGTAGTTGAAATTTTCTGCTTTGATTTTCGGTATGTTGAATATTTAAGTTATAGATATATTGTGTGTGCCATGTCAAGAACTCTGGGCAGTACTGAGCAGGAATATTGGGGATGGGTGTGTTTTCTTGAATTAATTGCCCATGAGCTGCTTTTGCTCAGAGACCCCAAAACGAACCATAAGGATCACAAGTACTCAGCCAACATTTTCTATCAAAATGTGTTTTGTTTTTTCAGTGAACACATATTTAGTAAAATTACATAAAGACAGTTTTCTTACAGATTTAGGTAACTGTCAAAAACAAACCTGTGGAAACCAGATGATGCTCCCTTTTGAAAGCAAAACTTTATCATTAGAGCAAGAAAGAAATGTTTTTAATTTTTTGATGAATCCCTCAAATCTGTTTTAAGGAAACAAGTAAGAAGTTTGTATTTCTTAAAAACTGGGGGGGTGAAAAATCACTTTGGAAGCATCTTGTCTTGTAAAGCTAAACATGTTCCACGTTAGTTTTGGATCAAGAGCACTTCCTAAGGGCTAGTTTAAGTCTTCAGCCTCTAATTTAAAATTTGAAAAGGTAGTCTATCTGTGTAGCTTGAAAATGAATTGTTGAAAAAAATCCACAGAAAATCTTTGTTTCCTCATTCATCTCCATTATTGACTTGCTGGCTGGTTGGGAAATTTTAATATCAAGATTTGGATGGGAAATCTCACTGTCCAGTAATTTCCTGTTTTTCATTTTCCAGTTAGCTCTGGCATTCAGCAGCACTTGGAGCCACAGTTGCTGCTACTGCGATAATTAATTATACAGATATAAGTGGTGATGGAGCCTGAGTATTGGTCTGTGTGAGGGAAGAGGAGCCGATAACATTATTTTTACAGACTTTCTGCAGTCTTGAAAATGCTTTTAGGTTTGTTTTTGCAGGAAGGCTCCATCAGAAGTTGCCAGATGCTTTGCATGGATCTGCCCGTGTCCGTTAAAGAAGTTGCAAAATGTCATTATCAATTTCCCGTGATCTCAGGTGACTCCAACCAAATCCTCTGACCGCTTGGTCCTAGGTGTTCAAGGGGTGCTTGATGCGTTTTCTGTAAAGAAGATCTAAACTAAAGCTCTTGGGTTGGCTGGGTTGAACGTCTGGCGGGCGGTGCGATGCAGTGGCTGGTGCCTGGCCTGATCGGTGTGTTTTGGGTCTTGCCCGTGATGTGGTTGGGAAATGAAAGAGTGAACTGCACTCCTGTGAAAATCTCCATCCCTGTCTCTCACCCAGCGCTCGATTCTGTTTGGGGCCGTCTGCAAAGGGTGGATGCTGGGTCTCAGTTCACACGTTGCACAGCAGGGTCCAGATGGACACTTCACTCAGTATTTGGAAGTAAATAATATTAGTGTTCATAGATAGATGCATCTTATTCCTTTATCTCTGCAAGTTCAATACAGGCCGAAAGGTTACTTGGTATTATTTTTGTGTACCCTGTAATTCTGATTAACCACTTTCGATATCTGGCTATTAGTCTGAATTATATGCTGCTTGAGGGCATAGTATTTTTTTCCGCTCAGAGAAGTTAAGCAAAACCCCAAAGATTTTATAACTAAGTTCACGGGTAAGGAACACAGCTAAGGAGTCAAACTAAACACGTGCAATCATTTTGAAAAAAGCCAGGGGGGTAAAACCTCTGCTGGACTGAAGGGAAAAGAGTGCTTCATGAAGAATGAGTAGTTCCTGTTGTTTACAGTCAGGCGTGTAACTGTAAATCCCAGTGGGCTGGTATTACTTGGCTGATATCAGACATGCCTGCTAGATGACTAAATCTCCGAGGGCTCAAGGAGAGTCCTTCAGCATTCCCATCAATCAAGCTGCATTTAGTTGTGACACTATTTTTGGTGGTGCACCAAGGAAGAGAGGGAATTTTGCTGACTCTTCTGCAGGTGATGGTGTGGTACCATACCTATTTTATTTAAAGCTATCATGGATAATGCTGAACTAGGCTACAGTCTCCTCTGTTTCTTTGACTAATGCAGATCTAAGTCAAACCTTCAAAAAATAGCAGTCCCTTTTGGTCTGGTGTCAAAATATTTGAATGTAAAAAAGGGGAAGAACAAAAAAAGGTGATTTCAGCGTTGCCAAAGTTCCATTTCATCTACAGCTACTCTTGGAAAGAGAGAGGAGTCCGTGCCAGCTGCTGGGCAGGCACAGAGCCTCCTTCCAGCACGGCAAATCACCTTCTTGGGTTTTCTTTGCTAGTTTCTTTTAGGTCGGGGGGGTAGTACTGTGGCAAGTAGACTGGTTACAAACTCTTCTTTAGAAGACAACTTTCTGTCCTTACTTCATGTGTCTAAGAAGTTAGTTTTTTGCGCTCTCGGCTTTGGCTGAAGATCCTTGTCTCTCACATCAGATTGAAACAAATGCACTCGGTCGCCTTGGCAGCATATTCTCAGGAGGGAGGTTTCCATTCTTGTTCAGCCACCAGGAGAAGCAACTGCCTCGTTATATCCAAGCTGTATTCATCTTAAAGTTGAACTCTTTTTCTTCTTTCTCTGGAAGTATTTCTTTAAAGTACATCTCATCTTTCCTCTTTGAAGAAAAAGCTTTTGTACTTGACTCCTAGGAAAATTTTTGCTTGACTTATGGAGGACACTTTCTCTTTTTATAAGGAAGGAAACATATGGTATAAGTGAAGTATTTTTATTTAAAGAAGCAGAGCTCCTACAAGAAAGCTTTTCTGCTTATTCCTGAAGGACAATTTACCAGATTTTTAACAAAAAAGTGCTAATAGCTTCATTTGAAATGTGTTTTTGTATTCCTCTTGCTTCACGGATACTTATGGACACAAGGGGCAGGCTACACAGCTTGAGTAATGATCGTGGAGTGAAAGGTCAGACTTCTGAAATTAATTTGGAAGTCAGGATGAGAAATGTTTATCAAACAGATTTATTGCACAGACATGTTAAGATTTTATTGTGTGGTATATGAGACATATGTCATGCAGAAAACACTGCTCGTTGAGAAAATCTGTCATTCCAGGATTAAGAGGTTGATCTGGGGGTTTAGGGGAAAAAAACGTTTCTTCTGCTCAGCGATCCATTTAAAAGGTTGCTTGCAGCTCTATTTCCAGAAACCATCCCTTTACGCAAGGTTAGACCCACCGTAGGGTATTCTGTTCGCATGAAACATACTAAGTCCATCCACCATCAACTGCTTCTGTGTGCACTGGATTTTGGCTGCTTTTGCGCTGCAAGAGCATTAGGCGAGGGGGAGGCCAGGGCAGCCTGATGCAGTTTATTTGCAGCACACAGTTTATCCTTTGGTGGCAATATGCCCTGCACCAGCTCCAGTCCTCTGTGGCACACCAATGCAGTTGTAGGAGGGGGAAGGCTCCTGCAGGCCCCTAGCTATTCCTC